GCCCGCAGGGGACCGCGCCGCGGGCCTCTGGCAAGGTCTCCCTTCCTCGTGTAACGGTGTGGTTTTCCCCTGCCCTTGTGCCCCCGCAGCAGTACAGCCGCCTCAATTCCTCCAGCCAGACCAACAGCCTCAAGGATCTGCTGCAGAGCAAGATCGATGACTTGGAGCGGCAGGTGCTATCTCGGGTGAACACGTTGGAGGAAGGAAAGGGGGGCCCCAAGAACGACACCGAGGAAAGGGTCAAGATCGAGAGCGCCCTGACCTCCCTGCACCAGCGGATCAGCGAGCTGGAGAAAGGTAAGGGCTAAGAGGGGGGCCAGGCTGCCTGCTCGTGTCTCCCTCCAGGGACCGTGTGAGACAGACTCCCTGCACAGCCCAGTTCAGCCCTTTTGTAACCCCGACTTCCTCCACTCCGGAAGCCCCTCCCCAGGTTCTGATCTTCCAGGCTTGTTCCCAGCTTTGCTGGTACCCTGGGCCGGAGACATCTCCAGGGACAAGAGGCTGAACAGAGGAAGATATTGCATGGTGCACCTGTCCCCATCAAGCTGTACTCACACTCTCGAATTTTTCAAGTCTGATTTGTTTAATCTTCAGTAACTTTGCACAGTAGCTGTGGTTGGCCCAGCCCTCCCTGGTTAAGAAAATCTGGCTCTTGCTGGTCTCTGTCACCAGCAAAGAATGAGGCATTAGCCCACTTGGGCCTGGGGTACATTTCCTCCCAGTTGCCCTGAGCCCCCGGTGTTCTCTCAGGATCACCAGGTTCCCCCTCCCACCCAGAGCCAGGCTCCTATCTCCTTTCTGAGTGACCCCAGCTTGGGCATCTTGTTCACTTCAGCAGCTCCCAGGTAGTCAACTCAGGCTGGCCCAAGCACAGCCCCGCACAGATGAGCTCTGCCTTCAAGTCGCAGAAATCAAACAAGGTTGTAAAAAGGTGGGGGGGCACCTAGGAGTGGAGCAGGGCCACGTGACCTTGCTTGGACTGCAAACTGTGCCGGATGGATTTAAACAGTGCCATCTTAAGGCACGTTATGTAACTGAAAAACAGATCAGGGGAAAGAGGGACCTCAGGAGGGAGGGGGAGGGAAGGAGGAGAGATGCTGGGAAATTACACCATTCTAGAGAGACACCAGGGGCTGGATCTCCCCACTGTGGGCTTGTATGTGGGGGGCACTGTCTTAAAGGGGCCAGCCCTGCTCTGCTATCAGATACCTGGCTCAGAGGCGAAGTGGATGGCTGTCCTGTCCAAATGCCTTCCAGCAGTTCCCCTTAGCCTGAGGTACCAGGTCTGGGCTCTGGGGTAGGAGCACAGGTGGGCACCCAGTAGATGGCAGGGTGCTTGTGTTCCTGGGCTCTGATATGAGTACTCAGGGGGCTGGGTCGGGAGTCAGTCCCACACCAGGCCCAGCCCAATAGCCAATAGCCATGGTGTGTTTGTCTATTGGGGTGAGGGGTTTGGACATTCCCTGGAGACATGGCTGGCAGGTTGGAAGCTGATGGCAGTTTAAAAGGACTGCAAACTGTGCGGGATGGAAGCTCATGGGAGACTGTGTGGCATCCTCAAAGTAGTCACTCTGCCCCCGCCCCAGGGATGCCGCCCACTCCTGCTGCCCTGCCCTGCCCTGCCCTCTCAGCAGGGCTCCAGTCTGAGTCCCTGGAAGAGCCTGGGGGAGGGGACAGTGCTTTCTTCCAAGGGATGAATGGGATTGTGGAAATGGCCCGGGCTGCAGCAGGGGTGGGCCTGGAAGGATGCGGCCGGAAACCGGGGCCTGATTATCTCCTTGGGGATTAAGAGACACTGACAGGAGTGGTGAGGGGTTCTGAGCACAGTCACCATCCTGGAATCAGGTCGGTCCCCAAAGGGGCTGTTCTGTGGGGAGCTAGCCTCATTCCTCCTTCCCCTGCAGCCACCTTCTCGGTCAGTTGACAGGATCCCACCGACCTGAAGGCTGGCCCTGCCTTTCCCATGCCCACCTGGCAGCCCAAGGGCGGATGCCCACAGCCAGCCTGTGTTCCCCCTCCACCCCACCTCCCCAGGGTGGCACCATGTGGAAGTGAGTGCTAGCCAGGCCTGGAGTGCAGAGACCTTGGGTCAGCTTTTTTACCATCTGGCCCCATGCCCTGTCTGCGTCACAGGGTTTGGTGGGGACCAAACACAATTCAGATGCCAGCTAAGCCCTGGGTCATGGTGTCGAACTGGGTTCTGTCCTCCCCAGGTCAAAAAGATAACCGCCCTGGAGACAAGTTCCAGCTCACATTCCCGCTGCGGACCAACTACATGTACGCTAAGGTGAAGAAGAGCCTGCCTGAGATGTACGCCTTCACCGTGTGCATGTGGCTCAAGTCCAGCGCTGCGCCCGGCGTGGGCACGCCCTTCTCCTATGCTGTGCCCGGCCAGGCCAATGAGCTCGTCCTCATCGAGTGGGGCAACAACCCCATGGAGATCCTCATCAATGACAAGGTAGGGACTGCAGGACCAGGCCTTCAGGCCCAGCTCTGTCAGGTGGCCTTAGATGCTGCTGTGGCCCTTCTACCCAGTGGGACGGGGGAGGCAGAAGGTGAAGGACAGAAGTAGGGAGGGGTACCCTCGCCTGCTCTCTGCTCCAGAATAGGGAGAGCTGGAATGTTCCAGACAGAAGCCTCCTGTGTGGGGGTGGGGGGAGGCGATGGGGACATCCATCCTGCTGATGTGATCCTGGCTCCTCCGCTGTTGGGCCTAAGACTGTCTGGGCTTCTCCATATTTGGTGGTCCATAGGTGCTCTGGGTGGGGAATCCAGGTGCTCTGGAGATCCTTTCTGAGTCCACATCTATCCCCCCACTTAGCCCCCTACTCTCAGGAGAAGGCCAGTTCCACCTGTTCCCTGTTCCAGGGCAGACCTTTCCCTCTAGTGACCGTTTCCCCGTCTTGTCCCCTTCGTTTGCCTGGGAATTAGCTGCCAACTTTCAAACCCCTTTATCTTCATGTCCTTCGTGGTAGTAAATGGGTAAAGCTGGGAATCGGCTTCTGGCCCCTCATCTTGAAGCTGTGCCCCAGAGAGGGTGGTGCTTTCTGGGCTCCATTTCCCCAAGTGGGAGGCCGGTAAGTTCTGTGGCTGCACCATCCCCTGCCTGGAGCGGAGAGGGGGAGTGTGAGTCTGTTGCCAGTCTGAAAGCACAGTGTCATCCCCTCATGGCATCCCCCAGGCTCTCTGCAGGGGCCGGCTGGGGTGCAGACCTGAGGACTAACACCTGGAGATGGAGGGAGGGAAGAGAGGAGAGGCCTGGCAGGGGGAGGCAACAGGAAACTGCTAGGGATGCTCCCTCCCTTGAGGGCTTGTTTTATAGACCCGCTAGGAGGGAGGAGGGCACGTAGGAGGGAGGAGGTGTGTGCCCAGATGCATCTCGGGGCTCCTTGGCAAGGCATTGTGTTTCCTGTGGGATTCCCTGACCCACCCATGGGTGGGGCTGATGGATGCTGAAGTTCAGAGGGGAAGGTGCTAGAGGAATTCAGTATTTTGAAAGTGAAGTGAAGGAAAAAAAAAATCACAATTGCCCCCGTGAGATCACTGATTCTGAAAGCTGTCCTCAACCTTATCTCGTGGTGTGCTCTTCTTCCCAGGTGGCCAAGCTGCCCTTTGTAATCAATGATGGCAAGTGGCACCACATCTGCGTCACCTGGACCACCCGGGACGGGGTCTGGGAAGCCTACCAGGACGGCACCCAGGGCGGCAATGGCGAGAACCTGGCACCCTACCACCCCATCAAGCCGCAGGGCGTGCTGGTGCTGGGCCAGGAGCAGGTACTGGTGGGGGAGGGGAGAGAGCTGCAGCCTGGGGGCGGGGCAGCGCCGTGGGATTTGGAGAAGTAGGAGGGCAGTAGTTGTGCTGGGGTTTGGGCCCAACCCCGGCCTGGGGGCTTCTTCAGGGACCTGGGGCAGGAGCAGCTCTGCATCCAGCCCTCTCAGCACAGCAGTGAGGCTCTCTTTGGCATGAGGAGGCCAATTCTGCTTTTAACAATGAATAATTTAGTTCCCAAGAAGTGGTTCCTCTCCTCCCTTGGGCACCTGGGAGGGAGGGGAAGGGGTGGAGAAGACAGGGCTTCTGTTCCTGGGGGAATGTAGTTAGCTGGAGCTGGCCAAGAGTGTGGTCTGAGTAGGGCCCCGGGACTCTGTTGCCATAGTTGTCCACAGCCCCACTGACCCCTCACTTGCTGGCTGAGGGACAGGATGGGCAGAGCCCAGAGGCCCCCAAGCAGAGATCCCCAACCAAAGCAGAGGGGGTGCCCTCAGAGATTGACAGATGTGTGGCTGAAGACTCAGGGCCAGGAAACAGAAGGGTACCAAGGACAGACAGAGCAACCCCAAATAGGAGAGACAGACACCCAGACTCATCCCCCAGGGATAGGCCCCTCCACCTGGTCCCTGACCATCTGGCTGACCCTCAACCTTCATCCCCTGCTCTTCTCCAAAGGACACTCTGGGTGGCGGGTTTGATGCCACACAAGCATTTGTGGGTGAGCTGGCCCATTTCAACATCTGGGACCGCAAGCTGACCCCAGGGGAAGTATACAACCTGGCCACCTGCAGCACCAAGGCCCTCTCTGGCAATGTCATCGCCTGGGCAGAGTCCCACATTGAGATCTTTGGCGGAGCCACCAAGTGGACATTCGAGGCCTGTCGCC